TTTCAATGCCTTTGATCTCCCTCTCTTTACATGGCCAGTCTCTGTCGCCAAACCTTGCCTGTCCTTCAGTAGCAAACTCCATAACCCTTTCTGGCTCCAGCATTTAGTTTGTTCAGTACTTTCCCAGTATCAAAATATTAACCAAACCTTCTAAAATCTCTCTCTTTCTAGCCTTGTGATTTCCCTCGTTTGCTAATTTTGAGAATGTGCTGCCATATTAATAGAACCCTCCCCGAGGTGCGGAGCCTCTCGTTTGAAACTCGGTTTTATTTTTGATGCCTGTAACAGGTGCTGGTTTAATAGGTTTGCTGTATTGCAGCTTTCCCTTTTTTCTGGTGAGCCCAGCCAGATCTGTAAGCTGACACTACATGAAGGCCAAGCATGTGACTTCTCCCTGCCTTTAGCCTCGCTTCGCACCGAACATTTGCGCCGCAGACTCCCAGCAACTCAGGCAGCCTTAATTCAAGCTTTGTCTAAACCAGGAGGTTTTGTGCTGATTGTATTTAAATCAGTCCATCCAAAGCCTCTCATACATTCCCAGCTGAGGGTCTGCTTGCTTTGATTTTCCGCTGTCAGCTTTCGAATGGGCAGCTGCTGGGGGGAGTGGAGGTGGCTCAAACAACAAAGGAGCGTGTTTGCACTGCTCTCTGCATCGATTTCACACAAGGAGTTTGAAGCCACGGTCTAAATTAAACTGATTAGTGTTCTCCAAAGGACGGGCTTGCTGCAAAGAAAAAGGTGAATTCTTCTCCTATTAGGTCTCGTGGAAAATGTTTCACAGCCTGTTTATCAAATAAATATTCACAAAGACGCTTCGAACGAGGAAACCCACTGGGATTAAAGTGTAACTTTACCTCTAAAATACAAGCTGAGATTCCTGGAAATGCTGCAAGCCTTTGACTTTGCGCCACCTGTTATTTTCCTGCTACCCCCTTCGGCTCCCTCACGATTCAGAGCAAACCCAAACACGCTTTGGCTTCGCTGGAACTTTCTGCTTGTTTTTCTCAGCCCGGAGGAGCAGAGAGCGCGCGTTCGCTTCCTGACGTCCTCACGGGCTTGGTTCAGCAGAGAGCTGGCTGAGGTTAACCCAGATCTCCTGTAATCCTGAGGGGGTCTCTTCAAGAGCACTGCAAAGTGCAGGGGCTAAGAGGCTGTGCTCCCTCGGGGTGTTGAGGCTGGGTGCTGGCGGGTTAAGCTGAGAAACTGCAGAGTGACTCCCTCCAGCTCCCCTCTCTTCCTCTGCAGCTGGGGCTGACTCGAGGGTGAAGCAGTTCCTGAACAAGTGCCATATGTGCAGACCTCGGAGTCTAAAAGTAATCCATTGCTGACTCTGAGTTACCTTAGCTTGGCACAGAGATGTTACAGTTCAAGGCCTGTGTTAGCTGCAGATGAGGTGTCTGTGGGAATGACGTTGGGTATGAACTGGGAAGTTCGGCTGTTTTCACCAGATCCTCCCATATTCATAAACAAACCCAAATGGACTTGGATGGGCTCCTTAGTTGCTACGATTCCTTTTCACTTGAGCTGCTTTGACTCCAGGTTTTTAGTCCTCAGCAAAGGCAGTTCTGCACTGTCCTAGCTGGGTAGTGCTTTTCCATACACATTGGTAAACCAGAGGTAGAGAGGGGTTAAGGAACTTGCCCAAGGCAGATGAGTTGGTGCCAGGGCTGGGAATAGAAACTAAGAGACTTGGCTGCTGCTCCAGGCTCTAATTGCACAATCTCACATTGAAGCCCTGTCATCCTATACTCTTGAGGTAACACTGGCTGAAGTGAGGCAGGGAAAGCTGTTTCCAGACTGCGATACCTAAGGAGTGGGGAAAGGAAAAGACACCTGGAGGCAAATCGGTTGTGCAAGCACCAGTTATTTGTGCTTTCCTGCCTGGTTTCAGCAATTGGTACTAAAATCTGATCTGTCACCTTTGAAGCCAACCAAGTGTAAACTAAGGAGCTAGTTGGGAAAAATCCAGCCCTTCTCCAGTCAGTGATAAAGAGAAGAGGCAAAGTCATAACATCACTGGTCTTTTTTTTCCTGTAAAACACCCTTGTGATGAGCTGGGGCACAAAGGCAGGAGAGCTGAGGGGATCCAAGTAATAACAGGAAGGGTTAAATCACATTTGGGCTCCTACCAAAAGAATGAAAAATAAATTGTAATCAAGCTAGTAAAAGGTTTGGGCAATGTTGCCTTCATATCACATGCTGTGTATAGGAAAAGTCAGCCAGGCTGGCTTTGTTTGAAGTGCAGTGCTTTGAGAGGGTGCAGTGCTTTGCAGCGAACTGTCTGACATTCCCCAGCTGGGACTGGCCCGGGATGGTGTTTGGAGCGGAGAGTTACATTTGGAGTCAGCCCATGTTTGAAGGAGACAGGGAGAGAAGGGAGCCTGTTTTTTTCCTGTGTAAAATAATGCATCCATCTCGTCTGCCAGCTGCAGCACATGAAAGCAGGAGGCAAACAGACAGAAGTCACCTGGAAACTGCTAACATGGCTCAAACAAAATTTCTTTCCTGTCCTTTTCTTCCTTTCTTAAAGTCTGTCTTCTGGGACGGGCTGGGAGATCTGGCAGGCGGGCAGATTGGATATATGTTGAGCAACCAAAGCAGAGAAATATTAATACTCCAAAAAAATAACATTGGCTTCTGAAGAGCACTTCATGTCCAAATTCGCTCTGTGCTCTCAGTCCCTTGCAGACTTAACTGCCCTGTGCAGAGATTGTCAGGTGATTTATGGATTCTCCAAGTTCGTTTGTACAAGCCTTCATTTCCTGTTAATTTACGGCCAGATTCATCTCAGCCATCACGGCCTCGATGAGATCAGAGCTGAACTCACAGCCCCTGCTTCAGGAGAGCTCAGGGTTTGCTTTCAGTTATGTCTGCGTTGAGGTGCTTTCCTGAATCAGGCTCGCACACGCATTTATTGGACTCTCTGCTTTTGAGGTGGAAAAGAAGACTGAAATTTTTGAACTTACTGATTCTACTAATTGAGTTAATTGAAAAAAACCCACAACTAGTCCTTGGGGGAAAAAAGCTCCTTCTGCCTCCGTGTGTTTAGTTAATGGAGACGACAAAACTCTGGGTATAGTGATTTTTCTTGTATTTTAGTCTCAGTATAGTATAGATTCAGCGGGCCTTCCTTCTCCTGGGTGCATGAATGTGAAAATTCACTCTTTATTTCTAGCTGTAAATTGATAGTGGTCATTTGGATAGCAGCCATGTCATTGTCTTTTATACAGTTTGTGGTTGTAGAGACCTGTTGTGCCTGTAACCCATGGAATAACCAGTTTGGAGATACAAATGATGGCTTTCCTTTGATTTTCTTGACACCTTGTGTCCTTGTATCAGCAGCATACTGCTGTAGTGATGTAAGATTGGTCCTTAATGTTTTGTGAGCCTGCACTGAATTAAGTATCATTAAAACTCCTCAGTCAAAGCAGCATTTCTGTGCCTGTTTCCCCAGTGCTGAGGGAGGGTCATGTGCTGGCTATTTAAAGGGTGAGTCTCCAAAAAGCAAATTGTTCTGGGGTTGCTGATTTTATCCTCTTCCTGTTGCAGACACCAGCAAATGTGGTGGTGAAACAATCTGGTTTTAATAACCACGAGGGTAAAGAAGCAGATCACGGTGTGGGGAGCAGGTCCTTTGCCACGTGCTGTTGGCATTTGCTGCTGGAGGGGGGAGGTTTGCTTTGAAAGGGGCTTGTCTGAACCCCTGGAAGAGCCTGAATTTGGGGTGAGGCTGGAGAAGACAGGCTCCTAGGCAGCTGTCAGCTCCAGTGCCTGGAAGGCTGTGGTCAGTCATCCTTCAGTTTTCTGTTTCAAAGAGCTGATGCTTTGTCAGGAGAACTGTGACTTGTGTTCAGGAGTTCTTCCACTGGCTGCTGTCTCCTCCTCTGCTTACCCAGTAGGTAGCTGGATGGATTAAGGCTCGGAGCTTGTCTGAACTCTCTCTGCTATCTCTTATTATTCAGCAAGTTCCCAAGTGTCTGGTGAGCGTCTGTGTTTGGAGTGCCTCACTCACAGCCTTGCCAGTAATATCAGTGACTGGTCTGAATTCACATCAGGCATGTGCTCTACTTCTTGTGACTAATGCACAATGTATTTTTTTAATTGATTAGTGTTCTTCTACTGATTCAGGCCAGAAAGGAGTCAGAGGAAAGGGATTTTTTTGTTCGACGTTGTTGAGTACAGATGAGTTTTAAAGGTATTTAACTGTTTGGTGGCTGTGGAGACACAGCTTGTAGTACCTTCTCCAGAGAAAAACCTTAGATTGAATCCTTCAGGCTGTACTGCAGCAATCACAGGTGATCAGTGCAGGGTCTGATCTGTGGTCAGGTCTGATCCTTGGGCAGATCTGGCAGTGCAGAGTTATCCTGATGGTACAGTGGGACAAAAGTAGCAAAAGATGAGGAAACACTTGCAAGAACGTTTGCAAATCCTGTTATAGTATTTCTCTGTGTTACAAATCACTGTAACATAATGCAAAACTGGGAATTTTCAGAAGAATCCTTAGGAATCAAGAAAACAATGTTTTGTAACTTTTGTTGAGGTTGTATTTACTTCTCTATTTCCTTCTCTGAAAGTCCCATCCTCTGAATAACATTGGCAGCATTCCTTGCCTGCGGGATTAAAATCCAGCCGTGCAGTCCTTGTGTGTAACAAATCCATTTTGGAAGTGCAGGCCTGTAGAAGAACGAGCCCAGATGATTGGAAGAAAAACTGATGAGTGGAGTCAATAGTTCTGCAAAGGGGAAAGGGGGTGTGCCATAGCAGGAAAAGTGTCTTAAAGCCTTCAGATACCTGTGAGCTGGTCTCTGGACAGAGGAGCAGTGTGGGGATTAGGGAGTGGCTCTCTGGGTTGGGTTTCTCCTCCAACAGCTGTTGAGGAAGCACCATAACTGAGTGTGCAAACTCAGGGCCAGCCTGGGGACCTGCAGCCCGCCTTGAGTATTCTTTCTGTTTTTGTAAGAGAACCAAATAGTTTCTGTTTCTGCTCCTGACCCTTTCAGGCATCACAACAGGATCCGCAGCATTGAACCAAGTCAACTGCAGCCCTACGTTACCCTGGAAACGTTGGACCTGAGTTTCAATGACATCACGGAAATCCGAAACGGCTGCTTTCCACAGGGACTTCACATAAAGGAGCTGTGAGTTTTTCTTGTTGGGAACAGCTTTTGTTGAGTTACCCTAGCAGAGGAAAGGGCCTCAAACCTTTAAAAAAAGGGAGAAGTAATGGATATAAGAAGTATGGGATTATTTGTCAGGATTTTAAGTGCAAAGGAGAATTAAAAGGCAGCACACTGTCTCTACTACCATGTTATCTTTTGAATGTTGTCTTTTTGGTTTCTTATGTATTTCTATGAATACAGATTATTACTATGTTGCAGAGAGAAGGTATCCTGCATCCTTCAGGTGTGGGTGATTTACATCTGCAAACCACCTACAAGCCAGCAGAACTGTTCATGTCTCTTCCCCTGTAGGAAGTCTGTGTGCTGTTTCCCAGATCAGCCCATGTGCATCTGGAAGAGTGGAAGGAGAACAGCTATTTTGTCATTAAAGTGGCCACTGAAAGAGCAGAGACGTCTCATTAGTTATCAGAAGAAAGCTGGGGGTTAAGCAGAGTAACACCCTCCCTACAGAGATGTTTGCCTATTCAGAGAAACGTAAAATAATCTGTATTTTAGGTACCTTTGAAGCAGTGCAGGCAAATAACTTGCCTGCATTAAAGTTTACACTTAAGTTTCTGGTGCTGGTTGTAAGAGGGTATCAGAGAGTGGTGGTGTGATGTAAATTTGCCTGTTGTCCTGTAAAAACAGCCTCTCTGGCTAAGATTAGGATCCAAGTAAGAAAGAGCCCTGGGACACATACTGAGGGAAAACCAGGGAATGAATAGAATCATCCTGCACTGGAATATTCTCCAGTTTTTGGCTTCCACTCCTGATTGCCTTGCTCTAAAGTAGGAGGGTATCAAGGAGCTCTTGGGAAGTGCCCAGGGATTCTCCACATTCATCTGAGGCTCTGTGCTCATTGTGCAGCCAGAAATCCAGCTGGTTTGAAGCCATCGCTGTAATTTCACCAGCCTGTCTCGAGACCGACTAAATGCTGATAAAAGGAGATTTCTGACAGAACTGTTCATTTTTCTGCTGTGATTTATTGCAGCTACCTGGGGAGCAACAGAATCAGCACCCTGGAGCCTGGTGCTTTTGATAGTCTGTCACGGTCCCTGCTAACACTTCGTCTGAGTAAAAACAGGATCACTCAGCTTCCTGTCAAGGCGTTCAGGCTACCCAGGCTAATACAACTGTGAGTAGAAATGTCCACTTTAATTAAGCTCAGCCCCACTTTATGGAGACAAAATGTCCCTGAGGATATACACCCACCAAATGTCACCCTTCCTCACCTGCTGTCTGTAAAATGTAGAATACTCTATGCCGCAGTCCCCTGCCAGCACCTAGTAAAATATGTTGGGAGGGGGTCCTTTTTGTCTTGTAACTGTTGGCTTTTCAGGCCACCTTTTGGATCAGCTGGGAAAGGGAGGGATGCTGAAGCAGACATCAGCATCTTGTGCACTTGGCAGAGTGAGACAAATCCATTCCCTTGCAAGCTGCTGTGACGTCTGTGGTGCAAGAGAGGTTTGGGAAGATGTTTCTATTGCGAGTGACAGAGCTCAGATACCACGTTAGTTTTTCAAGACCACACAGGTATCTTTATGTGGCAATAAAAATGCAATCAGGGAAGGTTGTTAAACTGTGCAGTGATATTTGGGCAGAGAAAACAGCACTTGAGGTGAGTTAACACACACGTCGTCGTTGTCCTGCTTGCATGGGGACACACAGACATCTGCAGCTGTAAACATGCTCTGTGTGTAAAAAAGTAGCACTAATTGTTTAGCTTTTCCCTTCTGCTGCCGTTGGAGAAACGGGCCCAGCCTGAGGCTTTTTGCAATCTTTCCATCAGATTTGATAGGCAAAAGGTCAACCTCTGTCTGTTAACATAAAGTCCTCACAAGCTGTTGGAACTCACACCTCTAAATGGCAGGGGCAGGTCCTTAAGCCGTGGTGTTCCCAAGGAATGTGTGTGCATTTGTGCTTACATGCATGCAGGATTTATAGCGAATTTGGGGTTGAACGGGGTGACACAGCAGCAGATGCATCTTAAAAGTCTGTTACCTCTCCTTTGGAAGTTACTGTCCATTGAGTGAGAGCTTGTAACCCCCTGTGTTTGACTGCATTATGTGCAAAACTGTAATAGAAACAACTCAGTCTGTTTAGGAACGCAGTTTGCACTGAAAGTTGGAGTAATTGGTACTCTTAATGACAGCCTCACAGCTGGTTGTTTAACCCTGTGGATAAACATGAATGAATTGCAAGTTATACAGATTGATGTGTTGTAGAATTTGTGTACTTTTTCTGGCAAAGCCTGTTTCACTAATAGCCCAGGAAGTGCAGTATGACAAGGGACTTGAGGCCTGCAAAGTCTTAATTGCTCAGTTGACTTTAATTACACTCAACTTGAGTGCAAGTTCAACATTGTTTTTTTTAGGCAGTTGAAGAGTAAGCTAAAAGTTTCTATGGCTTCCTCATCTTTTCCAAAACAAGTTCTGATGTTGTAACTTCCACCATTTTCCTCAACACAAACGCTGACTAGGGAACTACCCTTAGGTTAGTCTTGTATGTGTGGGAAAGTATCCATTTTAAAAGCTCTCACTTCAGCTTTAGTGCACCGTCTTGAGGTTTTCCACTGACTTTATGGAATTGGCTTTTCAGCTGGTATGTCTGGGTCAAGCAATCCGTAAGACTGTTTGATATAGATTGGTAAAGTGTGCTGTGATTGTGTTCATACTGCTATTCAGAAAAAAAGGTAGTCCCAAAATTTAGGAGTCCTTCCCCACCCAAGGAAAAGAAAAAGAAATTTAATGAACCAAGTTGGAGAACTTTGTATACACAAAGTACTAAGACTGTGTTGTTATTGGAAACAACTTGTTTCACTCTTTATTAGTTTCTTATAGTAGAAAAAAAAATGTGAAATTTGTCAGGGGAACTGAAAGCTTTCCTTTCAAACTTGGCCATAAAGTTTCCCCTTAAGCCCACAGTTCTTCGGGCACCTCACCTGGATTTTTCAGACCACATTTTTACTGGGCAATTACGAATCCTGTAAAAACAGTGGGTTGTAAGGGAAATAATGCTGATGTTTGGCTGTACTGGTTCAAATGGTGTCTGCGCTTGAGACAAGATGAAGTGTGAAAATTGATGAAAAGGATCAATGGCTTAAAAGAAATGCAGAGAAAGGAGGGATGAAGAGGAATTGCTGCAGTCTGTTATTCCTCTATAGTGAAAGGCTGTCCCAGGGTGAGTTTATTTAAGCAATCACACCCAGCTGACTTCCCTGGATAGCTCTGGGATTGAAAGTTTCCGGTGCATTTCTGCTGTCTCCGGGGAATGGTTGACAAGAGGAGTTGTTGGCATTGCTGTCCCCATTGTGTGCTGCACAGATGACTTCGTGAGAAAGGACTGGGGTTTAATAAACTTATATGGCCTTGGTGATTTTAGGGAGCTGAACCGGAATCGCATCCGCCTGATCGAAGGCCTGACATTCCAGGGACTGGACAGCTTGGAAGTCCTGAAACTCCAGCGCAACAACATAAGCAAATTGACTGATGGAGCTTTCTGGGGTCTAGCCAAGATGCAAGTTCTGTAAGTTTGAGAGAGGGGTTGTTTTCCCTTAAACAGACAGGACTTTACCTGCTTTCCTGTCCTTCTCTGCATTTTAGCGAGCACCTGTGCCAGTCCTGGTGCTTCTTCCTATGTCCTGCATGCCCAGAGCTCTGCCATGCTGCAGCAGTTTCTCTTTAGCTGACCCACAGTTTACTAAAACTCAGTGCTTTACCAGGTGTTCAGTCAAAAAAGTCCTGTTGCTTGTGAGTTTTCCTTTGAAAGGTTGACGATTTGAACATTCCATGTGATCTCCACTGGTCTTTGAATAAAAGCTTGTCTGGCTTCTGCAAATTTGTTTTGACTGACACGTGGGAACTCTGTGTTGCAGACGTGATTATTCCACCTCCTGGCATACCTGGAAACCAAACTGCCCTATCTAGATGATGCTTTCTTTCCATACCAGGGAACAAATTGATTAGTCATTGCAGAGAAATGCCTGAAGCTTCCAGCATGCTTGGCTTTCAGGTGTGTTTGCAAGGTCACAAGGCAGCATGTTTCTGGATGCTGCTGTCACACAACTGACACTCTGCAAATATAAACTTGATTGGGATGCTTTAAACCCAGTTTACTTGCAGTGGAACTTATGTCTGCAGTCACAGCTCCTTCTGGGCATTTCCTTCGTGTTGTCCTTGGATTTCTTTCTATCCTGCATTTGACAAGAAATTCCCACACGTGCACGCATCCACATGGGTGTGTAGAATTCCAGTTCTTGCTGGAAATTCTCCAGCGTTTGACCAGTGCGGCTTATCTGTCAATTCCTTCTGATTTTTCTCCACAGCCACCTGGAATATAACAGCCTGACAGAAGTAAACAGCGGTTCTCTCTATGGCCTTTCCTCTCTGCACCAGCTTCACCTCAGTAACAACTCCATATCCCGCATCAACCCCGATGGCTGGAGCTTCTGCCAGAAGCTGCATGAGCTGTAAGTTGGTTTCTGTTGTGTTGTGTAATGTTGGCATGAAAGGGGAGTAAGGAATTGTCCCAATCACAAGGCTTGCAGCTCCCACTCTATCAACCTGTAGAAATGCAGGAGCTGCAGCCTCTTAAGTGATGCCCTCGTTATTTATGATGTTATGACCTTCAGAGCACCTGATTAAAATATGTTTACACGAGAAACAAAGACTAGAACCCACTAGAAGTACACAGTGCCAAAAGACCTGGAGAGTTTGTGAGCTGTGGCTTGCCAATGCTTTTAGCTAGAGAGTTACGAGACGTGTAAGTTGCCATATAATGACTCTACAGCCTGGAGGAAGCTTTGCTTTACCCTGTGTATTTACGAAGAACAATCATGTTTTTAACCAGCAGAGATTTGGCCCTTTAAAGGCAGTTCTCCTGTTTACACTTTACCCCTTCCTCTAGGGTTCAGTTGTTGAAAAGTAAATACATTGGCTTTGCTCTCCTGAGGTTTCCAGCTGTGAATACAGCGTGTTTGATAAATGAAAGAAAGCCTTGCTGCTGAGGACAGCCCCACGAGGGTGTCTTTTGGGTCTGTGGCACTGCTTAATGCCTTTTTGAAGAGGCACACATGGACTTGCAGTATTTACAGAAGTAGCTGTCATCCCCTCGGTGGGACTGTGGAAAGATTCGCTTTTTTCTCTGGAGAGCTTGACACATATGGTTAGTGGGACTGTAATTCATTCTGCTCGGTGCTCAGAAATGTTAAACATTGTTAGGGATTCTCCTATCCACCACAAAGCACGGTGAAGCAGCTTCCTGCTGCCAGAGGCCTCGCTCTGGACTCATGTTAGGTTGGTGTCTGCTCACCCAGCTGTGAGCCCTTAGACTTATGGGCTGTGGATTCAGAGATAGGTGGGCATGAACCATGTAATTCCTTTAAGTTTAGAATTAACATATTAGCCCTGTGATTAGCTGTTGAACCCAAATTATTCATTCGGATGTAGGGGGTGCAAGGAAATACTTTATTTTTAGTTTTAGTTAAATACCTGTGTGACTGTTTAATTACCTAATTTTTCAATTTACTGCAAAACTGCCCATGCCTAAAGAGCTCCTTTTCTTGGCCCAGGGCTAATGTCAGAACTCTTTTAGGGAAAGCTATGCTTGTCTTTTCTACCTGACACTGTCCTGCAAACCCCCAAGGTTTAGACTGGAGGTTGCATGTCGTGCTGAGTCCTTTATTTGTCAGATATGGATTGGGATCTCATCCAGCTTAGGGGCCATCCTGTGCAGTAACTGCAGAAACCCAGTGCAGGAGTCACTTGTGCTGGTGCAGGATGGGGTAGATTTGGAAATGTGAGGTGGTGGGAGCCATTGGGGTGTGCTCGGCCTGACAAACAGGATTGTGCTGGAGTGTGAGGCCAGAGACGACAGTGACTGAGATGTGAAAGGCGATTATGTGGGCGTTAGCACACAGCCCTGCAAAATATTGCAAGCTCTTGCAGGTGTTGCCTTAAGGGTAAGGCTGCTGCAGAGAGCCATCAGATCTCCTAACTGAAACTCCCACAGACTGAGAGTTTGTGGAGTATTTGTAGGAGAGGTCTGCTCTGAAACTGAAGGGTGAGGAAAGGAAGCAATGGATACATCCAGACTGACTCGTGCACTTCATTAAATGTGAATGTTTCATTCCTGATTGAAAGATCCTTGCTCGTCTCCACTATTGCTAAATCTATTGGGTTTCAGTTACCAGAAAACACTGTGTGTGGTTGTAGAGGGAGTGAATTTCAATTCTAAGGAAGGAGTTGGTCATCTGAAGAAGAAGTTGTTCCTCATTCAGTTGCCGGGACAAAATGTGACCCCAAGGCTCGGGTCTGATGTAAAAGCTAACAAGGAAAGAAAGCTCTTGCCTTGTTATGAGCATGAGAAAGGGCTGATTGTACTCACCAGTCAGGTGCTAGAACATCAGCATCATGGAAAAACCCACAGTGGGAGCATAGGATTTCACCAGAGGTAAATGATGACTTGGCTGCCGGGTCTTTCCTCTTTCACTTTTTATCCGTAGTTTGGTCAATGGGAATGAAGTGTGTCAGATGTACCTGGTCCAGAACTGGCTGGCAGCAGGACACTGCTGAGGAGGGAAACCTGCTGTTTTGCAAATTGGCCTGTCCCATGGCAGGAAGCAGAGCCCTGGCACACTGAAGAAGCCACTGCCAGGTGCAATAGCTCCTGAAACCTTCCACGTGGGTGCACCACTGGGGGACTCTTTAAGTACTGCTCCATCTTGAGGTGACAGCACAATTGCCAGAGAGAACGTGCCTTCACCGGTTGCGGCAGGAGCTCTTTTGTGCAGAATCAAAAGGAACTATTTATTTTCTCAGCCAGGTTTAGGATTGCTTTTGAACACTTTTTTTTTTTTTTTTTTTTTTTAACAGCCAAATTCTTTAATCGCAGGTGAGGACATAATTTTGACCAGATGCCAGTTCTTCATAACTAACACTACAACTTCTTTAGGAATGAAAGTATGTTGTCCCATACCTTCAAACTCATTAATCTTTGCTGAGCTTGCCCTCTGCCCACTCACACAGCTAAAAGATAGACAGCACTTTTGCCAAGTAAATGACACTCTCAAGGCTTTAGAGTATGTGTCTGTTTTGACTTAGGTTTTGGCTTTGCAGTGAGTTTCATGCAAGCCCTAGACACATTTTTAAGCAAACTCATTAACAGGCAGTATTAGAAGAGGAATTTGGAGGTTTGGAACTCAGAGAGATTTTTTTTTTCTTGTTATCTGTGCAGTGAAGGATTTCAGTTCTTGTTCAGAGCTGTGTAACTCCACTCTTTGAAAAGTCGAACAGCTCAAATCTTCACATTCTTTGAAGTGACATGTGGTCCCAGGTCTCTAAAGTATTTCCAAAAATCCAGTGCCTGCTGCTATCGTGAGAGGTGCCTCATTTGCAGTCCAAGCTGGCCTTCCACAGCAGCAACACTGTGGCTTTACTGCTGCATAGAAGGTGGTTGCACAGTGTGAGAGGTGACTGCACTGGCCTGTAGCTTCCCATGGCCTGCCCTTGGTGTCAGATCTCCAGTGCCTCATCTGCACCTTGCTGGGAGAGAAAAGCAGCTTCTTCCTACCAGCTTCCAAACTGCAACAGGAGTAGCACTTAAAAAAATCTCCCAAACCAGAGATAATACAGGCAGACAGGAAGAGGTAGCTGGAAAACTAGGAAAAAAACATTGACCCTCCAACACGAGTATCTTGTAATGGAAAGGATTTCAAGCAGACTGTGTGCTCCTTGACAAAGGGGAGCGGGAGGGAAGGTGGCTGGTTTACAGCAGATCCCTCCTTCCTGTGCATGAAAGGAAGCTTTCAATTGCCTGGTGGTGAAATGCTCTTGGATCTGGGCTGGGGTGGAGGCACCCACACCCAGACGCCTGGGGCTCGCTGTGCACCAGTGCAGAGCAATAAGACACCTCCTGAGCACAGAAGCTTGGACCCTGCCAGGAGTGAGTGTGAACTTCAAAATCCGTGTGTTTGACGTCTCTCTCCACCTCTGAGGGCGCAGGGAAGGAGGGACTGCTTTTTCCTGTAAGCCTCGGAGAGAATCCAAATGGGAGCAGGGATTAAACACAACCATCTGAGTGTTGCCTGTACCTGTGGGGACGGAGAGGATGGTGCTCCCAGACCCTCACCCAGCCATACAGGAGCAGAAGTAGCTCGTCCCTGCTGTAGCTGACTCTGTGTGTGTGTGTGTGCTGGCTTATTGCTCTCAGTCACATCCAGGGGACCCTTTCTCTGTAGCCCACATAGAAGACTTTCCCAGAGCTGGCTGTCAGCTGTCTCTTGCTCCTGTAAGTCATCTAGGCTTCCCCACAGGTGTCTTGTAGGATATTTGCAGACTGCAGTCTTATTTCATAATCAGCTGTTATGTATCCACCCAGTACATCACCTCTTATAAGGTGGCTGTGGGAGGCAGGCGCTGGTTGGCACAGAGGAGTTTGGAAAATACCAGATGGGTTGACAAGAGCTGTTATGTTTTTGTTTTTTCCCTCAGAATACTTTCCTACAACAACCTGACCAGGCTGGATGAGGGAAGCTTGGCAGACCTCGGGGGACTGCACGTGCTGCGGCTGAGCCACAATTCCATCAACCACATTGCAGAAGGTGCTTTCAAGGGACTCAAAAACCTCCGTGTCCTGTAAGTTGCTCCCAGCTTTTGTCAGCTAACAGCCATCTTCCCTCCACAGTTTGTGTCCTGCCAGACAGGTGCTTTGGGTGCCCTTGTCCCCAGTGTCAAAGTCCCCTACTCACCGCTGTGTTGTCTTCTGTGTTTGCCCTGTTATTCTTGTATTTTTTAATTAAGAGTAGTTAGGAGAACTGCAGTCAGACAGCTCAATGTTGTAGGGTGTTTTCAGAGTAGAGAGCTCTGAAGTAAAATTATGGGAACGTAGGACAGGATCCTGAATCTAACCCAGCTGACCAAAAATTTCTGAGGTCTCATTCGTGCAGCTTAATAGCAGAACTTCTCTTGCTATCATGTTGACTTTAATTGAAATTCTTAGAAAATGTTAGTTTCTGTTGGGTCATTCTGCACTCAGAACAGCAGTGAAAATTTGAATATCCTCTTAAGTGTGCTATTAAGCACACTTGTTACTTTTTTTTTAAATTGAGTATTAAATATAAAATTAAAGACTAAGATGGTGTTAACTGAAAAACAAGGCAAAACAAAGAAATTTACAGGTTGGGCTTGGGATTTGATTATACCAGAAGTGTAACAACACATGAAGCTTTACCCAGTGTTTTGATTCAGTCTTCAGTCTTAGGAATAAAAAGCTGCAGGCACCATGAGAGTTAACAGAAGTCTTTCTCTTTAATGCAGAATTTGGTTCATTTGTGTCACGAAATGCTCTGTGCTCTGATTTTCATGGTAAACTCTGAAAAACAAACAAGATTCCATCCTATCAAAGGAAAAGTTTCATGTGCCCTAATATTGAACTGCAGAGTGATCTGTCCAGCAGTGGCTGTGGCCATTTAACACAGGCTGTAATTTAAAGTAACTGGCACAATACAATACCTGGAAATGTGACACTGGAAATGAGCTTGCTAATCCAAATACCAACTTCTAAGACCGTAGGACTAGCAGAGCACATTAGACAGATCCACGTGAACCTCCTCTGGGATCCCAGCTCTAGCATTGTGCCACTGTGCACTGTTAACCCAGGAGCTGTGTTAGATTGAAGTACATCTGGGCTTGTCTTAGGAACATCAGAAGATGGGGAATCCTGCTCTAATTGTCCATTTCTGGAGCTGTGTTTGGCACCTGCAGGGCTGCTGGCTGCTCTCCTCTCTCTGGGAGCTGCAGGCTCAGCACCTTTGCCTGGCACATCACGAAGTTCTCACAGTCCACGTTACAGCACCAGCCACACTCCCAGGCTGGTTGGGTTCACCACACTGATTTAATTCTTCCTTCAAAAGAAAAAAACACACTTTGATACTTTTATTCCACTTCAGAAGCCCATTGTGGCCCGAGTCATTAAAAGGAAATGGGAACAGAGAGATCTCCCCTCTTTACAGTACTTTTTTGCATCTTACTCTTTCCTTTATTGAAAGTTCATAGTGAAGGAAGTGACTGGAAAGCGAGTTTGGGTTTTGTTTGCTTTTTTTAAACCTAAGCCAAAGCCTTTCAGCTACTGGGCATTCAGAAAGGGACCTCTCTGAGGCAGCTGTCAAGACCGGAACTAAAGGTTTCCAAAGAAAAATGGAGGGGAAGGAGAGCTGGTAGTTCTCTTTGCTCTGCAGTGAATGTGGAGCCTCTTTTATGTCCCGGGCAGAGGGGGGAGGCGGAGAGGGAGTGTGTGAGCGAGCTCTAATTTAATAAAGAGAAAGGCCTATTGGGTCCTGCACCTGGTGAAAAAGAGCCGAGCATGCTTTAATTATGGGCTATTGTTGGGGAGCCTTTGGTGGGTGTGAAACTGCTGAAATGTGGAGCTATTCAAATAGAGGTCAGGCCCGGAGACCTCGGAGCACAATGATTAACAAGGCTGCGAGCATTCAAGCTCAGCCAGCCAGAAAGAATAGGAAATTGGCAACAGGGGCTGGGAGAGGAGTTGGAATACAAAGGGAGCTGGGCCAAAATACCCCACTCTTTTTTTTTCCTCCCTCTCTCTATTTTCACTCATTTGTTAAAAAGGTTTTTATTCCTCCTTTCTAACACTAAACCTTTGAGTTGCCTTTGGATGAACAAGCAATACCATTTTCTTCCCCTTTTTCAAGAAAACACAATGTGTGGCAGTCAATTAATAAAAGTGTGTGTCAGAGCTCCTACAGGCTGTTCCCACTTGTCTGTCTCTGCCATGGGAAAGGGTTTGAAGCTCCAAAGGCCAGTAGCCTGTGGTGAAACTGAAGAGGAGAAATGTCTGAGAAGGGATTTTCCCTTAAAAAACAAGCAGAACAACGGACACTGGCTTGGCAACCACAGAGAGAATGCAGAAACTCAGCTCCAGGAGGATGTATTTGCTCCTGTCCCACTCGAATAGTGCTGGAAACGCCATCACATCAAAGCGTCTCTCCCGGACTTGTCTCTTGTGCCACCATGGCATTATGTGCGCCCACACCCCGCGGGGACGTTGAGTTTTTATCCTTCCCTTTGGCACAGAGCGACCCACAGATCACCCTGACATCCACAGTGCTGCTGGCTAAGGCCAGGAGGGTTCCCTAGGAACGGGGGATTCAGGTCTCAGGCTGAAGCCAGCTGAGAGACAGGAATTGTGGCTTTCGGTCATCTCCCTTCACGCCTTTAGTTCTTACACCAAAGCCGAGAAAGGAGCAAAGACTGCAGCCAGCTGAGGTACTGGGAGCAAAAAGCTCCATCTCAGCTGAGGAAAACCATGCCCTTACTAAAACTGCCTTTTTTTAATTTCTAAATTTCTTTTCCCCTCTTGTGAGTTACTGTGTATTTGTGTTGCAGAGCCCAGAATCCGCACTGTAATGCCTACGTGAAGTGTTGCAAAATGCAGAGGGGATTGTTTTTTTCTTTTTTTTTGGTCTTAATATTTTTTTTATCTGGAATTGTTCTGATAATAATCTTCAAAAGGTGCAAAAGGAGTACCTGAGGGTTCGGGGGTTATCTGGATAATGAAGTTTGCTTTGGTGTTGGGTTTTGCCAGGTTTTAAATCAGAGTGATGTAACAAAACCAACAAAGCGTATTTGGTTTTTCTTTCTTTTTACTTAACATTAGAAATGATGAATTTCTGTCTGTGTTGCTGGGTATTCATTGCTAGCTGGAATTAAAGCTAGGAGGGGAGGATTTTTAAACAGACTGTTTAAACAGCTTTTGTGGATCTCTGTGTTTGTTCTCTATGCTTGTTTTTCTTCAGAGCTCTTTGACTCTTGTAATTGATGACCAATTCGAAAGCCAAAAGAAGCTAATTCTGAAAAAGGAATTCTTACTTGTTTTGTTGGTTTTGTTTTTTGGTTTTTTTTAAAATCTGGTTATACAGAGAGTTAGGCTGGTGTAGGGATGCTGGTGCTTTCCCATGTTGAGTTTTCAAGTTCTTTGCCAGAAAAAATGCGGCTTTGTAGTAAATAACACCAAAACATCTTGTTAAGATGCAGCTATAGGCAAATACATGTATGCACTGGAATAGACAAAGTGTATCATTCAAGGACAGCTGTTTTATTTCAGTTTAGTTTTGGCACTTTATTTTCATTTTCCTCCTGTTTGGATGCACAAAACTAGGAAAGGGCTGAAGGTACTTGTTGAAGAGTATCTGTCTGCTCCTGTTGCTGTCTCAGAGGGTTTCAGCTTAGAATAAGCCAGGAGTATTTTTGGAATGAACCATCCCAGAATGGGTTGGTGCAGGAGAAGAGATTAGTAATGCTTTGCTGCAGGATTCTGCATTTTCTGATAACCACCAGGAGAAAATGGGAAGACCTCATGTGGCACTCTCCAACTTTCTTCTATTTGTGACAGTGAAACCGGGACTAAGATGCTGATTCCAGGCTCTCTCTTGTCCTCTCCCCAGGGAACTGGACCACAACGACATCTCAGGCACGATAGAAGATACCAATGGAGCCTTCACAGGCCTGGAAAACCTGAGCAAGCTGTGAGTATCCCTGGGTTTGAATTCTGCAAACCAGTGTTGTTGTGTGCCTGTGTGGGGGTGGGTCTGCTCCCTCTGATGCAGCCTTTGCTTCCTTTGGAACAAGATAATCAACAGAAAATCTGAGATGTGATAGTTTTGCAGGCTCACTGCAAGAGTGCAAATGACATTTCTGAGGAGGTATGTGGCAATTATTTCCTTTTAAAGTGGTGAACAGACGGTGCCACATACTGTAGTTCAGAGACACAGGAGAGAGAAGTTTAAGTTGTTTCATTTGTAAAATTCAGCACAACTGTTCCTCACTTCTAAAAGCAAACAAACAACAAAAAGGACCCCTTGCAATCTTCGGCCAAGGACTGATTGATGCTGCAAATAACAATAAACAGAAGAGAAAAATCACCCCACTTCCTGTTACAACAGAGGATTGAAACAGGATTCGTTTCTGTGGGATACTCTGTCTGAGAGTGATCTTTTGGGCTTGCTTCCATGTGCAGCGACAATAAAAGGCACCACGGGGCACAGGCTCTCGAAGAGATAAAAAGAAACCCAAGGCAAGCATGCGCCTTGCAAATGTTTATGGCTTGCTCGGCCTTCGCAGGGATTTTCACATTGCTCGGTGCAAGTTCCTCCTCCATTTGAAACGGGCCATATAAATCAGCCCTGTCAGAGCAGCCTCTGATGGCTTGTGACAAATCAAGAGTCTCTAATCATTACCTCTTGCCTTTGTTGAAGTTCTCAGCACCCCCCCCCCCATCCCGCTGTCTCTGATGCTGGGATGGCACAGCCAGAGGTGCAGTAAAAGTACCTCGATGGATAGCAGATGGCTGGAATGAATCCTGGCAGGCGGGATATTGTCATGCTCTCATTAGAGGCTCCTCAGGGAGCGGGATGAGCCATGGCAGGATTTGTGGGGATGTAACGCTTAGAGAAGAAGAATTTGAAATCACAGACAGAGGTGGCATTTAATCGTTGCTGACGGGAGTCACTGGGTCCAGGGAGAGGGAAACCAAGTTGTAGCTGCAAGTAAAGTGAGGCAGAAGGCAGAGGAGGATTTAAGGTCAAGGGGAGCCAGGCAGGGAAGTGGAAGTAGTGTGTGGGATAGAGAGGCCAGTAGGAATTACTGTGGACATGGAGTCGGGAAATGTTCCCACAAGTTGCTACAAAAAAAGGCGGTGGGTAGAAGAGTGTGGTGGGTAGAAGAGTCCTTGACTGCTTGAGTGAAGTTTTTGGTTTCTCTGAAGAAACCAGTGAAACCATGTGAGTAGCTAGAAGGGTAATGGGGGCAGAGGCTTTGTCTACTGGAATTTGCAGGCTGCAGGGATTGTGAGTCTGTAGTGCCGCTTTGACAAGGGGGAGAAGGTAGAAGAAAGGAGTGGAGAGAGAGAGGGCTGTCCTGGTGGGACATCCACTGTAGGGCATCCCTCCAACATGGCCACTGGCACAGGAGCAAGAGTAGTGGTCCCATGTGACTGGGATGTGTTAGAATTGCTGGATGCAGCAGATAACAGGAGGGAGGTGAAAAAGTCGGAGGAGACAGCAGTGAAGGAAAGAGTTCAGCAAAAAGATTGACTCAGCAACCAGGAACAGTGAGCCCTGATGAGCTGTGGGGGTCAGGCAGAGGCCAGGAGGTACAGCAGGGAGCGGGAGGAGGAAGGAAGGGAGCAGGGGCAGCCTGTGGGGTTGTGTGTTGGGAACTCTGGGCAGAGGAGCTATCACTCCCCTGTGAAGTAGCCATGGCCTGATGGGATGTTTATCATCGGCACAGGGAGCCCCTTCAAAAGATGGCTGATTTGGGCTGCCAGTAGCAAAGGATGCAGTCAGCAGGGGCTTGTGCAAGACTAAGGAAGTCGGGTTTGCATCTCTCTTTGCGTTGCTGACCTGTGTCTTTCACTGCACATGGAGCTGGGCCAGCTCTGAGTCTGGCTGAACACAGGGAAGGACATGTGCAGGGAAGGTTTGGGGGGGGATTGCAGTACATTTCATAGCTTGGAAGAGCACTTGGATTGGGTTGGTTTTGGGCAGGCAGGAGTGGTTTGATTACCTGACAGAACAAACCTACTGTGGGACAGAGAGTTTGCTGGGATCACTCATTGTCATCCAGAGTGTAAGGCTAGAAAACCCCTCAGAATATGAGATTATTTTATTATGACTTCTTGAGGCATTTTGAGGATACTTGGGACTGGCCACTTTTAAAAGGATCTCAAAACTGTTTTAGCTCATCAGCACATAAATCCCAACCTGGTGATTTCTTAGCCTGAAGTGAGGATCAGGATTTTTTCCTAAATAAAAGATCAGCCTCTACAGCAAACATTTCACTGTGTGATTTAGGGCCTGTGTTTAAACTGTCAGCCGGCTTTAAATGCATTAGCATACAAAAAATAAATGGGCACTTCAGAGGAGACCTTCCAATGAATTAATAATCACCTCAGCTCTGTGGAGATTGCCTTAAAAGCCGTTCCCCTTTGATCTGGCACAGATTAGCCTCTGAAAGGATTTAGCACAGAGAGGGTTGTTCGCTGACATGAAGGTGTTAAACAGAGATGGGGAGGCCAGTCACTTTAGCCTTCTCTGAATTATATATGAAGCTCTCCAGGATGGGAGAGTGCAGGCCTAAATTAAAATGCTGTTTCAAGAACGGGACTTGAGAAGCGCCAAAGCATAAAAAGCGTCGATGGAATCGCTGGGGAACAACGAGGTTCCTAATTACCCAAGCTGCTAAATGCAACCGGTTTTTTGATGGCTCACTCAGTGACTGAGATCTTTCTGCAGGTGCAAAACTGGCAGGAGGAGAAAATACTGCCTTCTAATGAATTGCGTGCCTGGCGCGTAATTACGCTTGAGCAGTGGCCGGGAGAGCCGTGCCCGGCTCTGCCGGTGGAGGAGTGCTCAGGGATGGCAGTGGGGCTGGCTAATTGTGAGCTACATCCTGCTGCCTTCACATTCCAGCCTGCCACCTTCACATTCCAGCCTGCCACGGCCCTTTGAAGGGGGCTGCTAGGTTCAAACCATTTCAGGTTTGGAGAAGTGCACAGTTGAAATCGTGGCCGAGTTTCAGGAGTTCCCTGAGGCCTGGCCCTGTTACGAGTGTTTCGTGTTTCTCATGTACAGCTGTAAATTTGTATGCACCTACACAAGTGCACCGTACATTGTGTATTCCCTTTCCCAGATCTCTGCACAGATAAGTAAACAGATACCATCAGTATCTCCAATTTTCACTGTTCAAAATCTACTATAAACAATCAGTAGAAATCTCCAGTTATCAAACCCAAGCTCTGATTTTTCAACAACTGATGGCCATTTAATTTTCATAGAATCATTAAGACTGGAAAGGTCATCAAGTCCAACCATCAGCCCAGCACCACCACCACCATGTTCACCATGAAATCATGTCCTCAGGTGCCATATCCACATATATGTTGAACACTTTAGGGATGGTGACTGCCACTTCCCTGGGCAGTCTGTTCCAATGCTTTACAACCCCTTCTGTGAATAAATTTTTCCTAATATCTAATCTAAACATTCCCTTGCACAACTTGAGGCCAATTCCTCTTATCCTTATTTACCCTTATCATGTCCTTATTTAAGAATAGGGCTCCAAAAATCAGTGGATGGAAAAATGGATGCAGCCATACGACCAACGTTTGCATATAGTAAATTATTTACTATATTAATCATTCTAATGGATTTTTTCAAAGCCTTCATTAATGCAGCATCCCTTTTATCAGTGATGGTGCACATGATTGCACACATCTTTTGGTGCTGGGGGAATTTCACCCAGGGCAAACAGCCACGTGCACTTGGATGCAAGGGACAGGACCTCTGATAACCTTTGGTTTGGTGCTGTAACAAGGATCTCAGTAAAGCTCACTGTGGATGTTTAGAATGATTCTGTCAATAAAGTAGGTTGCAGATAGGTCACACCCTATATTGAAGAAAAACTCTTGAAGGAAAAGTCAAAATCTGAGGCAGCACTAGATGGGCCAGTTTTTTACCTGAGGTGTGGGTGAGGACTAGCATTGGACACCATGTGAAACAGATGGTGATAAAAGATGCACCTGGAGGATAAACCTTAGAGTGAGCCTGGGGAAGGAAAGCAGTTCCTAATTAATGACAGTGGTTGATGTTTTATTAAAACAGGTGAGGAAACTGTCCATCTGGCACAAACCCTGCCCCTGACCGATCACCACTGGTCAATATTTATAGAGAGCTGTTACTTTGGAGGTGGCAGCTGGGCTGGGATCTCTCCTGCTGGCTGCTGCCCACTGATAGTCCCTCTCGTGCTGCTGCTGATTCAGAGGAATGCTCTCTGGTCACAGATGGAAGCAAGCACGTTCCTCAGCTCTGGACATTACCTTTTCTGCCTTTCATTCCTTGAAATTACCACTTGGCTATGATTTGTTGTATAATATTATTTTGCAGTCGCATTTGTAATGAGCCAAGGAAGGAATCAGCAGTCCCTTCAGTCAGCTGCTGTGTAAACGTGCAGTCAAGGGCCAGCCCTCAGCCCTGTGTGCAAATGGCCATTCAGGCCAAGCAGTGAATAAATTACCACTCTTTTCCTGTCTGGGAAGAAGTTCGAAATGAAAAGTGTTTCAGAGAGAGACCAATATCTTGTTAAACTGTCATTGCACTTAATCCTGTCCTCAGTCAGCCTGCAAAGAATACAGGGGACCTTCTGTTACTCAGCAAGCTGGTTTCCAAGCGCAGGAGCAAACCTGCCTTTTTACGTGATATGGCACATTCCCTTCTGCGCTGTCATCACTATTAAATTCAAATACAGATAAAAGGATTTAATTTCAGGAGCAGGAAAGCGAGTGTGCTCCAGCCCTCTTAATCTCTGCGCAGTTCAGATTTCCCGGGACTTGCACTGAGCGCGTATATCAGATAAAGCCTCACTAATTGTGTTCCTTCTTTTTGTGCCTCCCTCTCCCCATTTTCTTTCTGTTTATCTGGCACTGGATGTTTGGAAACTACAGAACTCTGTTTGGAAACAAGATCAAGTCGGTGGCCAAGAAAGCGTTCTCAGGGTTGGAGGCCCTGGAGCACCTGTGAGTAACCCACCATGCCTCAGAGCTTGGGAAGGGGGGGTCTGCCAAAAGTAGCTGCTTGAGAGATCTGCTAGCAATTTAATAGTGTCTTTGTAAACTGAGAAGCCAGTCCATTTGTGGGGGCCACCTGCTTCCTTCTCATTATAAGTCCGCCTCAACTTTGGCCTTTTTTTGTGCCAGGAACAAAGTTATAGAACATATGGCAAATCTGCATGCTCCTTAATTTTTTGATTTGCTCTTGGATAAGTATCGCCTTGACTTGCTCACTGCTGCTTTGCAGGCTGTTACCAGTGAAAATACGCCGTTTCAGATGTAGCCCTCTCTCCTCCTCCGTTGCCCCAACTTCCTCCTAAATCCAGGCTCTGGCAGTGACACATGTTGCAGATGACTGCTGACAATCCAGGCACTGAACATCCCCACTCAGCACAACCGCCTTAGAACCACTTGCAAGAAGCACATTTTGGCTGCTTCTGTGATTTTTTTTTTTTGCTGTATCCCAAGGCTGATGACTCCAGCAGAGATTCATGAATAACCTCCTTTCTGGATTAAGACAGTTAAAGTATATGTGGCTGTGCTCTACATGTTTTATTGGCTGTTGAGTGTATGAAATGTTTTGGCCATCGAGAGCACACTGAAGGGTTAGAGCTGCCTGACTGGGGCTGCGTTCCCAAATGAAGGTGCCCTTAATGATCTACTGAGATTTTCCTCTTCAAGCAGGGATTGTCTGCCCTGCACATCACTTAGTAAATTCAGCCCTAAATCTGACACTGTGCTTTTTCAGAGAGCAGATGAATCTTTTAATTAGCAATAGTTATGAGGGAAGCTTTTAAGAATCCCTTCTTTTGGAAACATTGTGATGTTTTTTTCAAACTCAGCAGTAGTCACTTTCAATTCAAATAACTCCTCAGATGTTGCTCAGAGCAAGTATTTGCTTTATGTTTGCTGAAGGTCCAGCTTGGGGTATGACATTCCTGACTATCTTTGGTTATTGAGGGGGCTGAGGAATTTCTGTGCTCTGGATGATGGAGGTAGCTGAGACTGAGAAGATGGAGTAGGGAATGGCTTAGTGATTTATTCCTGTAATCTTTGTTGGCTGACTGTTGTTCACCAATACTTAATCGAAATCAAGGTGTTTTGAGGAACATCTCTATGAGCTGCAAATGCATATGGCCTTAAGAAGCAGCTACCAAATCAGCTGCTCCTGGAGTCATTGCTTAAACGTGGAGAGGCTCTGTCCCAGTCACAGCATCCCTTTTGTTCACGTTGCCTGTGGTTGTGCCTGCAGGAACCTCGGGGACAACGCTATCCGCTCCATCCAGGCCGACGCCTTTGCCAAGATGAAGAGCCTGCGGCAGCTGTAAGTGATTGCCCTGCACACCCCGCTCAGGGGGCAGGGACCCTCTTTGCCCTGCACGTGAGCAGTAGCATGGGTTTTATCTGCATTTCCACTCATTTGTTTCCCCCTCCTCTCTAATCCTCTCCTCTGAGGGGTATTTTTGCACATGAGTAGCTGTCATGGGAACGTCGTGCATTTAACAGTGAGTGAAATTAGATCATTGGGACAGGTTCTTCCAGCAGGTTTGCATCTGTGCAATTATTCATGTCTGCTCAGGAAGTCCAGCCCTGGTCCTGTTAGCCAGCTATCCTCCTCACGCTGCCATGGATTTAATTCCCAGTGGCTCATCTGCTCCCTTGCCGTGCCTGTGTTTAGGGTTCACACACAGGACTGATATTTCAGTGATAAGCACCATTTGAACTGCATCCACTTGTCATCCAGCCTTCTGGTGTAAAAATACGGATGTGTTATCAGAGCTGCTGCTTGTGCTCCAGCCCGGGCTCTGCACTGTTATCAGATACTGTTTCCAGTCTTGCCTGGTTTCCTTTTCTCCTCTTCTCCATAAATATTTAATCCACTGTCAGTGCATTGCTACACTCTGGAGCAGTGCAGTGTCTGTGGAACACAAAATCACTTATTTGGTATTTGGTCAGGTACAGGTTCTTCTTCCTGACATTGGAAATGAGAATCAGATGGTCACTGTTAGCAGTGACATTTAATACCGGGGACTGGGAATGAGTAAGATAAACGTTGCATGTCTGTTGTGTGTTTAACCACCTTATCTTTTGCCGTGCCTCTTGGAACAAAATTGAGGTGAAAGATTGATCTTATTAGGGAAGAATTAGTGAGATCCCAGATACTGTGAAGGACTGTTAATACCATGGAGAAGTTCAGATAGAGGACATGTACATGCAGAATGCATTATGCTGAAGGGTCTCTGTGACCTGTCCCAAATAGCCAGTAGGGTTTATCCCATCATGCCACAATTTGGCCCAGAATATTAAAAAAACACAATTCATCCTCAGGCTTCCATTTTCCTTGCTCCTTTTTTCACAGCTCTTTTCCTAACAGAAGGTGCTAAGTTAATGTTAGGATCATAGAATCATGCAGTGGTTTGGAAGGGACCTTAAAGATCTTCCATCTAGTTCCAAGCCCCTGCTACGGGTTTTCTCAGCATCTCAGAACGCTGAGAAATGTTTTTGTGTTTTACTTTCCAAACTAGTGACTTTTTCTATTGGATTTACACGAATAACTTTTGATTATTTCTGTTCCGTCACTTCTTTTAATCAGTAAACACAATTCCAGCTACACCTCTTATCCCTAGTGATGCCAGTGTGCGAATATGCACCTTGTGGAAGGCAGATCTCTCCACTTACTGCCCTGGGGTTGGCCACAGAGGGAACTCAAGGTCTTACAGTGGGAGTTGAGCATCCTCTCACTGTTCAGCATTAAAGTCCTGAATTTGGTCCCACCAAAGATGCTCAAAGCACAGAGGCAGAGGAGGAACGTGTGTAATGAGGGATGTGAGAGGGCAGGACAGGCTGTGCTGTTGCCTTGTGCCTCTGTTGCATCTCTCCATTGTAGATGATCTGTTTCAGCTTGTATCCCTTAAGCCAGGGATGAGATTATTTATCTGTTCCTGGGGATCACTCTGGAAGCTGGTTAATAAGTACAAGGTGCTAGAGAGTGTCACTGGAGTACAGGAGTGGGTTGCTCTATGTGGAGATGAAATGCTGTTTAAATGTGTCATGTATTTAACATCTTTAGTGCCTCGAGGACATCCCTGCAGGCCTTTTTTCCCCTTCCACCCATGCTGGGGGGGCGGGAGGAATGTGTCTAACATGAAAGGGCTGTGAGCCTTCCAGCCTTCTCTCCGTGTAGGACTCACAGCAGGCTCGTGTTGGTTTTGTTTCCCTGCAGCCACATTAACAGCGACAGCTTCCTCTGCGACTGCCAGCTGAAGTGGCTGCCCCAGTGGTTAGTGGAGAAGGAGCTGCAGTCCTTTGTGGTGGCCACCTGTGCCCATCCTGAGTCACTGAAAAGCAAGAGCATTTTTGCCATCCTGCCAGAAAGTTTTGTGTGTGGTAAGTCTCGCCAGCGTGTTTTGAGGTTGTGTGAAGGGTAGGAGTCACTTGGGAAACATTTTCTTTTGACTACCAGCATGTTATTACGAGAGGGTTTCTGTTTTGTTTTGTTATTCAGTGGGATCAAAGGAAGCCCAAGCCTGCATTTTAAAAATTTGTCATTGGCTACAATTTATTTCCCACCAAAACCACACAGCGCATTGCTTGAACCAAGTGTATTCCTTGCAGGGCTCTCTGAGTATTAAATCAAAAGGGACTAATGCCTGTTCCACTTCCAGATGGGGCTGCACAGAGACTTCCTCAGTCCTCTCAGTTTGGTACTATCAAGACCGCAGCTGTAATTTTTTCCCTTCTGCAGTGTTCTGACCTGCCTCTGTGGCTTTGTGTTCTTCACGTATCTTTTCTCCCTCTTGGAAATAACAAAGAATTAAAAAGCAGAAGAGAATCTCTTCATCACAGCTGATTTTTTGGACCAGTAAGGCCCACCCAAATACTGCAGTTGACTCTGCACCTGACCTCTGGTTGCAAAGCAGCTTTACTTAATATCCAGCACACACAAACATCTACTACCTCTCTCATAAAGAAATTTAAATGACTGGTGGAGGCCAAATCAATGCTGCTCATGCACCCAGCTTTTGGGGAAAATAAAGGCCTGGTTTGGGAGCCAAACTCTGTGCTTTGGAGTCAACCAGTGTGGATCCTGGGTGGAGCTGCAGATGGGTGTTTGAAGCAAAAATGAGCTTTTGCAGAAACTGTTTAACTAAGCTGAATGCATGGCTTGCATTGAACACTGAGCAGAAGCTTCATTCCACCTGTGGTCCCATGTCCCTCCTGATCTCCCAGTGGCAGGACTCTGCCTAGGTGACCTCTGTCTGAGCAGGCTTGCTGTGCTCATCTGGAAGAAGAGATCCTGAAGGCTCCATCCCCACAGCAACATCACAAAGCAAAGACAGCTTTGCTTCCCGCTGCCTGCCAAGTCCTCCAGGCACTAGTATACTCCTGGTTCCAGAGGCCTGGCTGTTTAATTAAACCTTAGTCAGATATTAAATTACACCATTTGTAGAAATCTAATAAATGAATCTGCTTGGACCCTTGCTAAAACCAACAGTCTTCAGGGCACAGAGAGAGTGTGTGAAGCTTTCCACCCCGTCCATGTGACAGAGGCAAATAAAGCTGCTGCTGCTTTGACAGCACAGGTTGTGTAGAGTCATAGAATCCTTCAGGTTGGAAAAGACCTGGAAATCTTTGTGTCAACCTGCTAGTGCCAAGCCCACCTCTAAACCATGTCCCTGAGTGCCACATCTCTGTGTCTTTTAAATACCTCTAGAGATGGTGACATTCCACTTCCCTGGGCAGCCTGTTCTGGTGCTTGACAAATTTTTCCTATTAGCTAATATAAACCTACCCTGGCACAACTTGAGGCAATTTCCTCTTGTCTTGTTGCTTTTTACCTGGGAGGAGAGACAAATTCCTACCTCACTGCAACCTCTTGTGGGCATTTTTCCCTAGAGGTGGCTTTGCAGCCCTCTAAGTGCCCTCCTGCTCTCCTGTCCTGCTTCACGCTGATGCAAACCTGGAGGTGAAGTTGTAAGTTCATGAAGAAGAATGCTCTTCATGCATGGGCTGTACAAGGAAGGATATTTTCTATAGACCATGCTATCTTTCTAAGGTTCTGCTACATTGGTGAAGGAGCTGGGCATCTTGTAGGTGTCTGACAGCCCACTGGTGACAGAAAGAACCAGAGGAACAGGAGTCCCACCTAAACTAGCCCATCAGTGGAGTTGTGCATGGCCCACCTGCACTACATACAGGGCCAGCCTTGATGCTGCAGTGCATGTACCACAGTGGGTGTAAAAGCAGATGTGCAGTAATAACTTCACCGTATCCACTGTTCAGTTTCTCATTGCCTCTCTTGGCTTGCTGCAGTCTTCCCTCCTAGTCCAGCACTAACTGCTCCTGCTGTTTTCCCTCAGATGATTTCCCCAAGCCGCAGATCATCATCCAGCCCGAGACCACAGTGGCAGTCCTTGGGAAGGACATCAGGTTCACCTGCCTGGCCGCCAGCAGCAGCAGCTCCCCCATGATGTTTGCCTGGAAGAAGGACAACGAGATGCTGCACAACGCCGAGATCGAGAACTTTGCCCACGTGCGGGCGAAGGACGGGGAGGTGATGGAGTGCACCACCATCCTGCACCTTCGGCACGTCACCTTCGCGCACGAGGGGCGCTACCAGTGCATCATCACCAACCACTTCGGCTCCACCTACTCCAACAAGGCCCGGCTCACTGTTAATGGTGAGTGGGAAGCTGCTTTCTCATTCCTTTTCTCAGCCTGAGCTGGTACATGGTACAATTCCTTGGGACTTTCCTGGCGGGTAGTTATTCCCAAGGGTCCATTCCTGATGGTGAGGAGCTCTTAACCTCTTCACAGCAGCTGCCTGTAGCTCAGTGGATTGTGAGAAGCGCCCTGTGAGGAGCAAACGCCAGGTTTGGGATGGCTACCACCCAGCCAAGCACTTCAGCACATTCTTAATAACTTTAGCTGCTACTCTTTGGCTATTCAGGTAGAGTCTTTGCCCAGTAAAATGGGCCAATGAAAATACAAAAGGATACAAAGAAGAGGGATGTTGTGATTGGAAGTTCTCTGTAGGAAAGATAGTAGCTTTATTTCCCAGGGTAATCACAGAAGAAAATTGGTTTTGATCCAAGCTCCAGTGATCTGAACGGGGCTGGTCATGGACTCTGCAGACAGAAAACAGAACTGCGCGGAAGATGGTGTTGTCCCCCGTGGGGATTGCTCATCCCTTTCCTTGTTTTCCTTTACGCCAGTGTTGCCCTCGTTTATCAAAACTCCCCATGATATCACGAGCCGGACGGGGACGACAGCGCGGCTGGAGTGCGCGGCCGAGGGGCACCCCACGCCGCAGATCGCCTGGCAGAAGGACGGCGGCACTGACTTCCCCGCGGCCCGGGAGCGCCGCATGCACGTCATGCCCGACGACGACGTCTTCTTCATCACGGACGTGAAGATCGAGGACATGGGTGTCTACAGCTGCACGGCGCAGAACTCGGCGGGCTCCGTGCTCGCCAACGCCACCCTGACCGTCCTGGGTAAGTCAGGGCTCCTGGAGCACAAGCGACCTGGAAGTGGGAGCTGGGAGGGATGGCTGGTCAAGTGCTCTGCCAGTTGCAGATACAGAAAAGAGACAGAGTCCGTGTTCTGTCTTGTTTCATTCTTTTACACTCTAGTTAACTAATGAAGTTAATTAAGAGAAGGAGCAGTAAGTCGCATTTCCTCTTGTGCCGAGGGAGCCCCTCCAACCAGCCTGTTTGCTGTTTGGGAAATCCTTCAAAAGGAAGTCACCCTCCATCTCTCTTGTCCTAGGAAATAATTCATGTCAGCTGTTGGCCCTTGTCCTCAAGGGTTCCTTTTTGGGAAGACTAAAATGCTAACTGGTTATGGGAAGTGAGGCCTCGGTTGTGGTTGTTGGATCTGTCGTGGTTTGCAGCTGCCGTGCTCCTGGGCATGTGCCTGTGTCTGCAGGAACATCAGGAATGTTCAGTGCTGTTGAATCTGTTGTTACACCATCCCCAAGAGCTAATTTCTGTGTTGGTTCTCTTGCAGAGACACCATCCTTGGTTCATCCCTTGGAAGATCATGTGGTGTCCGTGGGTGAGACCGTGGCTCTCCAGTGCAAAGCCACGGGGAGCCCCCCGCCCCGCATCACCTGGCTGAAAGGTGACCAGCCCCTGGTCGTGACAGAAAGGCACCACTTCACCTCTGGCAACCAGTTGCTGATTATTAGGAATGTTGTCTTGGAGGATGCTGGGAAGTACACCTGTGAGATGTCCAACACCCTGGGGACGGAGCGCGCGCACAGCCACGTGAGCATCCTGCAGTCCCTGGGCTGCAGGAAGGACCGGACCACGGTGGGGATCATCACCATCGCCGTGGTGTGCAGCATCGTGCTCACCTCCCTGGTCTGGGTCTGCATCATCTACCAAACCAGGAAGAAGAGTGAAGAATACAGCGTCACCAACACAGGTAGCTTCAGTCTCCTGCGGAGGCTTCCTCTGACCTTTCGTGCTGTCAAATGTCCCGCTGAGGGTGAATCACCCGTCAGGGAGCCACACAGCCACACTGGAGCAGCAGTTGTCTCATGTCTCTGGTTCTCTTGGCTCACAGAGCTGGAGCCAGCTTTCACTTGCTGCTGAAGCAGGTTCAGAGCTGCATTTCTCCCCTTGGCTTCCTCTTCAGGAAGGTCTTTTCCACTTGGCAGTAGTTCCAGCCATTGCTTTGCTACTTTGATTTTCCGTGACCATAAATGATAACTCTTGAGACAGTCTGGATTATGTCCGTGATGCTAAGAACCTGTCTTACTTCTTGGGAATTTGTATTTTCAAAGACTTTGAATTCAAAACTTGAAAAATTAGACTTTGAAGCTGAAATCCCTTTTTCCATGTTGGCTGTAAAGAGCTGTTGCAGCCCTGCTGATGTGGGGTATCTGTTACTTTTTAAAGGAAGAAGTAGTGTTTACTGCTTCCTCCTGATAGGCAGAAGGGATAATTTGGTGCTGAAATAAGAGTTGCAGTGGCAATAAAGTCTCCTGCCCTCAGTGTTATGCAGCCTCTGAACAGAACAGAAGTATGGAAGAAGCAGCCTAAGACTTTCCCACCCTGCTGGGATTTGCAGCCTTCCTGTATTATGCTTAGCTTTAGAATAGAGAGTGACAGGATTTTAAAGACATGGGCTAGGTAGGCTGCTTAGGTACCCTAACAGCAGTGTGATGTATCAGTGGGATTCTTTTTTAACTACTTTTTTCAGTCCTGAAAATGTAGGGCTTTATGCCTGGTGTAATTGAGTTTCACTTGGATTTGTGTGACACGGGAAACTGAAATTGCCTCATGGAAAGTGGAGAGAACCAAGGACAGCCAAGGGGCTTAAGACTTATTTGCCTGCTTAAGGGAATCTATGACCCTGTTCTCCAGACTCCTTTTACTCCTGACTTCAGGAGACAGAGGACTTGAGTCAAAGGAGGGACTCTGATTTTCAGGGGAAAGAGAAGGATTTACTTGGTCTGAAGAAACAGTTCCACTCCACCTACCTTGTACTGACCATGCCAAATGGTCAGATACTCAAATTGCCTTTATCAGCACTATCTCTCACAGCTTATAAGCTTTTACAAGCCAGGAATGGAGCTTCTGAAGGGAGAAGAGTAGTTAGGCAGCTCAGTTTCCATGGCATCTACAGAAAACACCGGTTCTAGATTTGGTCCCAAATTTCTCTTGAAAACGTGATTTTATCTGCCTTTGAAAAATCTTACTGGGAACTGACATTTCTCTGCCTCCACTGCTCCAGATGAGACTATTGTGCCTCCTGACGTGCCAAGCTACCTGTCCTCCCAGGGGACTCTGTCGGACCGGCAGGACGTGGCCATCAGGGTGGACACCCAGCAGCCCAACGGGCACATCGACAGCAACGGTGAGAAAAGGCTTTCATTATTCCTTTTGCAGTGCTGTACCTGGACTTGAAATGGGGAGGTAGAAATTGCAGCCCAAAATATTAGTGAGTTATCTGAGAGATCTTCATAATGCAGTTCTCTGGCTCCTGCACTTATGCAGAGCAGGGATGTCTTTGATTTCACGGAGCTCTCCTCTCCCAGGAATAAGTGTTCCTGCAAGCAGGCTGCCTCAGGAACTGCTCAGTCAGGCCCTAAGGACTATTTTTTTGCTAATTTTGGATTAGTTTTTTGGCGTCAGATTTACCCATGGTTAAGCTCTAGTAGAAAATACATTAACGTTGCCTGTCCCTGCCTTCAGGCTCAGAAATTAAATGTTGGGGTTTTACAGTATTTAAACACAGCACGTTAGGGAGGAGGAGTTAGGCGTTCTGAACTGAGATTCCCCTGAGATTGTACAGCATTTATTCTTTTAAACATTATCTGAAAATTATCTATTATCTCCACTGCTGTTTTTTCTCCCTTTTACAGTAGAAATAAGACTAACAAGTCATTTAACTGGGATTAGATGGCTGTATTCTTTAACCAGCTGGTTGGTTTGTTACAGGTATGTGTCAGACTGATGCTGGAAGGTGTCCAGATGTTGAAGCTCCTGCTGTAGGTTGCAGACAGCCCAAGCTGTGTATCAGCTATAATAAAGACACTTGGAAAACTGAAGACATGGCTGATGGAATGCTTGTTCCAGATAAGACAGGTACAAAACCCATTAATCTGGGAAGGCATTTCATGTTTGTACAGATCAGAAAGCCCTCCAAGTCAGACGGAATTAACGTGAGAAATTTTTACCTTCAGAGAAAAAAAAAGCCCAGAATGATTCTCAGGTGCAAACATAGTAAATTTACTTTCTCCTGCTTGCTTTGATCCTCTCTCGAGCTTGGATAGTTGGAATTTGAGGAACCATCAGAAAGAGACAGACTAAGGCTCACAATCACCATTCCTTGCAGCTGGCTGATGGGAATTTTGATTTGAAATATTCCTGAAATGTGAGAGCGCTTTCAAACTGAAGGTGTTAAATTTTTTCATGCTCTTTAAAAGAGGCTGTCAGCTTCAAAGCTCAGCCTCGTTTTAATTTATTTATTTTCAAAATTTAAAGGTTGTTTTGGGCACTACACCTGTGTCTGCTCTTTGCCAGTTTCTTGGGTGTTACACTCATAGTTTTCTATTTTTAGGATGTGTTTTCTGTTCCCGTGCTGTATTGTTACAGCCACACAAAAAGAGCCAGTGAAACAAATTTTCTCTCCAGGAGAAACTATAAAGTTTAATAATGGAAAGTTGTTGAGTGCACTGGGGAAATTAACTTTCAACATTTAGCAACTCCTTCCTGCTTGCAACTGCTTTGATTTTGGCTCATCTTTTGTTCCCGCTAACAGTAATAGCATACCT